CGCGCCGGCCCCGGGCGCGTGGCTATGGGGGGGGCCCCCGACCCCGGATACGTGGCTATGGGGGGGCCCCCGACCCCGGGTGCGTGGCTATGGGGGGGCCGCCCCCGGGTGGGCAAGTGTCCCCGCCCCCTGGCGCCCGGCGGGCGAACGGCCACACCCCCTGGCGCCCAACAACCTCAAAAGGTTGGGGACCACTGATATAGATGATTGTATGTTTACATCCCTAGTAGAAACACATACTACCAGCTGTGGGAGGCTGTGGGATTGGAATCTCTCCTTGGTGGTCACCCAAGTGCTCAGCTTACCAGGAGCACTGACAGCAACTTGATGTATACTTTGAAGCAATATATAGCCATAAATGTTGAAAATTTACAGTGTAATTTAAAAACACCTTGGCTGGTTACTAGTCCTAAATGGAAACCAAATGAAGTGTAAGTTTGAAAATAGCAGAAAAAGCACGATTAAAAGAAAATAATCATTTAAAACATCCTATAAATGAAATTATGTTAAAGGATTAAGTATTTTAGATAATTTGGAATAAATCCAAAAAAGAAAATGTAATTAAATCAAAAAAATAAGAAATATGGATGAGGTATCACTCAGTTTAAGCTTAGTAATGTCCTTTATAACTGCTGATCTCTATCATACTTCAACTTAAAACCTAAAAATGAATGGCACTATGCCTTTTGTGAGTCCTCTCCATTATCTTCTGAATTCATTCAAATTCCTTTTTACATTTATTTAAAATATTGACAGCTGCATATACAGAAAAAATATGCTCTTAAAAGAAAACATATTACAACAAATATACACAATAAAATAAATGGAGAAATAGCTACAGAAACTTAGGAATGAAAAAAAACCTACTTGGATTTACATAGAAAAATATTGTGTATTAATGTGGACTAAGACAATATGTTTCAGAGGGGTAGCCGATTTAGTCTGTAACAGGAAATACTTAAAAAACAACAAATAGTCTGGTAGCACTTTAAAGACTAACAAAACATATGATAAGAAAATATGGTACATTCATAACTGGCATAATTGGCTATCACATTAATGAACTATATTCTTCTCTCAGTTATAATGATGCAAAGACACTGACACCATTATTTCCAAATAAAGTGTCTTAGAAGTATCAATTTTCAGTGACAAGCAGAAATACATTTGATTCTTTCTAGATAAGAAAGGATATCTCACTATATTTTAGCCTATCCAGTTCTTAAAACCTCAATTCTCCCTCTGAATTATGGAGAAGGACATGGATCATGGAAAACTTGAATGTGAATCCTCAGTCACTCATGGACTACACTGCACACTTATTTCGAAATAAGCTATTCCGGAAGAAATACTTGGAGGGTATATCTACATAGCAGAGCTTAACTTGAAATAAGCTACACAAATCGAGCTATGTCAATTGCATAGCTTATTTAGCAATAACTTATTTTGAAATTAGGAGCAGCTACAACACAGCACTTATTTCAAAATAGAGCACTCTTCCTCTGACTTCCCTTACTCTTTGTACAATGAGGGTTACAGGAGTTGGAGTAAGAAGTCTTCCAGCTTGACAGCATTTTGATTTTATTTCAAAATAATTGCCTGCTGTGTAGACGCAGATTAAGTTATTTTAAAATAATGTTGCTGTATAGATGAACTTCAGTGGTGCATCCATACTATGGCTATCTTGAAATAGGCATTATTCCTCATGGAATGAGGTTTACAGAAGTCGGAATAAGCCATCTGTTATTTCAAATTTATTTCAAAATAACGGCATCCTCCTGGGATGAGGCATACCTGGGTGGTCGACAAATACCTTTGATGTCGGCAGGGGAGCGTCCAGACTATCGCGCTGAGCCGACAAACAACTGATCAGCTGTTTGTCGGCTCAGCGCGGCAGCCATGTAAATTTAAATGAAGCGGAGATTATTTAAATCGCCGCTTCATTTTACTGTGTCGGGTAGCCTAATCTACATGCCTCTGTCGCCAGAGGCATGTAGTCTAGACGTACCCTAAGAATGGCCACACTAAGCTAGACCAATGATTCATCTAGCCTAGTATCTTCACTCTGACAGAGGCCAGTACCAGAGGCTTCAAAAGGAATAAACAGAACACGGCAATTTATTGAGTGATCCATCCTCTATCACACAGTCCCAGCCTCTCACATTCAGACATTTAGGAAAAATGCAGAACAACAAGTTTCACAGACTGATTGCATGTTATGTGAAGAACTTCCTTATATTGGTTTTAAACATTCAGCCTATTTATTTCACTAGGTGACCCCTAGTTTGGGTGTTATGTGAAGGAGTAAATAACACTTCCCAATTCACTTTCTCCACACCATTCATGATATTATAGACCTTTATCTGCCCTTAGTTGTCTCTTTTCCAAGATGAAAAGTCCTAATGTTTTTAATCTCTCTTCAAATGGAAGCTGTTCTATAGTATGAATAATTCTGGTTGCATTTCTCTGGACTTTTCCCATTTCTAATCCATCTAATTTTAAGGTATGGCAATCACAATTGCACACACTGTTCAAGGTATTGGTCATTCTAGTGCTGTTCAACATGTTCATAAATAATCTGAAGCTGCATATGAAGCTGTACATAGAAGATCAGATCTTTATTTGATGCAAACTGAAGGTCATCGTGATTAAAACACCAAAGATGAACTATGAATCAAAGACTGAATTACATGTCGATCATTGGAGACTAGTCCTCTCCTGCCTTCATCCCAGACACTGCATGGATTCCAATGGTGTGCTTTCACTATACCCATTATTTTAAGTTTTCTCTACCATTTCCACAATAAACCCCATGCAACATGGTATTTACAATACCACGTTGCTTTTTGGCCCTCTCCCCAGGACCCGTTGGGAACAGAGATCTCCCTCTATTGAAACCTCCCTGTAACTAAGCTTATCTAGCTTTAAACCCCTCTTGCTGCCTTTGGGGCTTCCTTTATACCTCTTGCACGGATAGGGTAAATAACTCCTTATACCATTTGTTCAGCTAGCTCAATTGTTGAATTGCCCCAGTCAGCTTTTCCAACAGGCTCCCTTGTTCATCTCCTGCACTCTGTCACATTAGGCTATCTTTCAGTCTTTCAATTCTGGAATAACCAGACTCTGAATACTTGTTCATCATTGACTTCTTGCATGAGTACTGTGGTATTAACGTGTCAGGGCTGGCCTATAACAGTGATACACATTTATCAATTTTGGAAATTCAAAGCCAATTTCAGAAGAAACTTTAACTAGAATAGTGGGTTCCCAATTATTAGCACTCTATAATGCTCAGATCCTATGTTAGTGAAGGCCATTGGGGTATCTAAAGAGATCATTAAAGTGTTTAAAACATCAGCATCTGCCAATCCATATTGTTGAGTGCAAGATTAGAGAAGAGGATGCTATCCTCACTCTCATTAACTGGAATTCTTTATGCTAGTTTAATGAATAAATGTCACCTATTTCAAGGTTCCATATGATGTAGATATTTGCCCTGCGCTGCAATTTACCCAGTTTAGTATCTGTAACTCTGACTGGGAAAAACTGAAGTGAGATTGAAATGAAAGGAGTCATCTAGACACCTCAGAGTGATACAAAATCTAGCTGCTAATGTGCCCTTTCACTCCAAAGAGAAAGAGCTATTTTGAATGGACAAAAGGGGTCTACAATATATCTCTCAGCTGTTTGATACATTTATCCAGGGCACTGAATGTATACATCATGCAGACAAGGATCACTAAAAGAATATTCTCTTAAACAAATATATTAAATCATGAGCTTTCATGCTGCAATATATTTGTTAGTGCCACGGGTGTGCTCATTTTTTAAAGTTATAGACTAACATGACTTCCTCTGAGTCTCTTACACAAAGTGAAACCATGGCATTATTTGCATTTCTAGAAACCACGTTTCACATCCCTTCTTTCTTTGCGTTTCCATATCAGCTACATCTCATGAAACAAAACATTTTTTTAAAAAAATATGGGATTGAAAAACTAAATACTGACAGACTTGTTGAGATCACAAGGATCACCTGAAGGATACATGAAAACATTTACATGTAAATGATTTCTGAATGCTAACAAATAAGTGGGTAAGTTATTCTTTTTCTTAGGTCTTCTATGGGAGGTAGGATTTCAGTATTAGTCAAAGAATGTTTATGTTTTAACATACGTAAAGAGCAAACTCTTCACTGCACAAAGAACTGAAGTCAGCACTGGCTATTAGGTATGTATAAAATATCTTACTTGACAGAACAATGAAGAGTACACAATATGCATGATACTTAGTTGTTTTCTGTAAAGCATTCTGCTCAGTGCATTCCAGAGAATCACTTTCCAAAAAATGGATCGAGAAACCATACAAATTATATTTCTACTCCTGTAATTTACCCTGTGAAGAATAAGAACTGACCATAGCATCAATGAGGACAGATGAATTTAAATTCAATAGTTAAGCTGTTTTCTATCTAACCAAGACATTGGCCACTGGATGTGTAGCTACAACATACAAGGTGACATATTTGTGCCAGACAGCCACAGATGTATTGTGTATATGCCATTGATACTCAAGTCACAGAGAAAAGTAAAATCTACTCTAACTGATTCAAGGTGGGTTAAGAGTTGGATTCACTGGAAAGATAGTCACTCCACTGCACAATAAAAAACAACCTTATTTTTTTTTCTTCTTCCCCTCATTAACTTGATTTTATCTAATTTTCCCCCTTTTTTGGTACTGAAGGAGTAGCTGTACCAGCATAAATGTTTTTGTAATGGTACCAAAATTAGGGAAGTAGTACTGTTTAAATATGCTTCTATGCTTTTATGTGAAGATAAGATCTTTGCCTCACAAAACCCCTCTGAGGCAAGTTACAATCAGAGATGTTATGTTGCATGGTCTGTACATAGAGAAGTTAGATGAAGCCATCTAATAGTCTTGCTGGAAGGATGCTGTGTAACACAACTTCATTTCTTTGCATTCAAACCGTGTAAATAGAAATAGACAAAAGTAGGCTGCTCCCTAAAACACATAGGAACAACTTCTCACCTTATTCTAAGCCAGCAATGGGCAACGTAGACTAGTGAGTAGACCTCATCAGTGGCCCTCCTTCAACTCAGCAGGTTTCAGGATGGTCACAATCAAAATGGTCTCCCAAGACAAGGGTGTTTTGTTAACTGCGCTTGTGTACCTAGAATTTATGAGGTGTGCTGATTGAACCATAGCAGCACTCTGACTGGATGCAGAGATAGCATGTGGCTCTCATAGTCAACGTTGTATGCAATCAGGATGCACCTCATTTCACGTGCCCTTACTTTATCTGTGTATCACTTTAGTAATACCGATAGGGGGAAAAATAAAACTATGTGGATGGAAACCCACAGAATCTGGCAACCCGGGACACAGCCAATAGTAACCCATCAGGGTTCTGTGTGTGGCATGAAAGACATTGGCTACGTCTACACTGGCCCCTTTTGCGAAAGGGGCATGTTAATTTCACAGGTCGTAATAGGGAAATCCGCGGGGGATTTAAATATCCCCCGCGGCATTTAAATAAAAATATCCGCCGCTTTTTTCCGGCTTTTAGAAAAGCCGGAAAAGAACGTCTACACTGGCCCCGATCCTCCGGAAAAAAGCCCTTTTCCGGAGGATCTCTTATTCCTACTTCGAATAAGGGCTTTTTTCCGGAGGATCGGGGCCAGTGTAGACGTTCTTTTCCGGCTTTTCTAAAAGCCGGAAAAAAGCGGCGGATATTTTTATTTAAATGCCGCGGGGGATATTTAAATCCCCCGCGGATTTCCCTATTACGACCTGTGAAATTAACATGCCCCTTTCGCAAAAGGGGCCAGTGTAGACGTAGCCAATGTCTTTCATGCCACACACAGAACCCTGATGGGGCGCATGTGGCCCTCGGGCTGCAGGTTGCCCACCACTGCTGTAGGATGACAAATCTCTTGCTGGTAGATTCAGTTCACACACTTCCCCAGAGAAACCCCTAGTCTACAAGCAAGACCAGGAAACACCCCCACTCTCAAAGTGATGGCTTGCAATTCGAGCACAGTCCTGCATACAGCCCAGTAGAATCATAAATTATAAGACCTGATGGGACCACAAGATAAAATTGCCTAGCCTCCTACATAACACCAAGCACTAAACAAAACTCAGTCATTTCCACACCAAATACAACAACAGGAATTACATCAAAATATCAGAGCCCTTATGAGACTAATCTAATTACATATTTGTAACAGGTGGCAATTTTCCACAATATCCTGAATAAACTTTATTGATTTAAGTAAAATCTTATTAAATTAATCTTAATACCTTCAAAGTTCTGTGATTGGGTCCACACTGGGCTCTCAGGAGTTAAAGGACTATACTGCATCCAGGTAGCTCTGTCTCACCAGGTCTGTAGATCAAGCTTAAAAAGAGAATGCAGCCTAGAAGGAAGAAGGCAATGCTGAGGGCTCTCAAAATAGGGTGCTGAAGAAGGTCCCCTGTGAGGAAGATGATTACTTGCCGAGCCCAGTTGGGGCTGAAGGATTAGTAGTTGTCTTTTTTTTTTTTTTTTGCTATATATTGGGTGTAGGGATATTGTGGAAGAGTGATGGTAGGAAGTGACCCAGGAAGGCAGCTCAAGAGATACTAGGGACCCTGGGATTCAGTCCTGTGGAGCAGAAAGGCCCCGATTCCCCTGACAACTGCAAGAGGGGTATAACACTCATTTCTGTCCCAGCTCCTCTTCTAGTAACCCAAAGGCAAAAATAAGTCACATGCAAGTGCTAGGAACCAAAGATCCTTCCTAAAGAGAGGTGTGAGACTTGCAAACTGGATGCATTAAGGCACCCGGCCCTCTGTTACGGATCCATTGGGGGACTAATTTAGCTACAACTACTTAAGAGAGAGATCTTGGTGTCATTGTGGATAGTTCTCTGAAAACATCCATTCAGTGTGCAGTGGCAGTCAAAAAAGCAAGCAGAATCTTAGGAATAATTAAAAAAAGGGATAGAGAATAAGACAGATAATATCTTATTGCCTCTATACAAAATCATGGTACACCCACATCTTGAATACTGCATACAGATATGGTCACCTCATCTTAAAAAATATATACTGACATTGGAAAAGGTTCAGAGAAGAGCAACAAAAATGATTAGGGGTTTGGAATGGGTCCATATAAAGAGAGATTAAAAAGACTTGGACTTTTCAGCTTAGAAAAGAGGAGACTAAGGGGTGGGGGGGAAATATGATAGAGGTCTATAAAATCATGACTGGTGTAGAAAAAGTGAATAAGGAAAAGTTATTGTTCCCATAATATAAGAACTAGGGATCACCAAATTAAATTAATAGGCAGAAGTTTTAAAACAAACTAAAGGAAGTAGCCAGGATGAGCAGGAATCTTGTCCCTAGCCTCTGTTTGTCAGGAAATGGACGACAGGAGAAGGATCACGTGATGATTACCTGTTGTGTCCCTTCCCTCTGGGGAATCTGCATTGGCCACTGTCAGCAGACAGGTCCATACAGGGCTAGATGGACCTTTGGTCTGACCCAGTATGGCTATTCTTATGTTCATTGTGTTGAAAATGCAATTTTTCATGTGGTAGGATTGTATGTACTTCTTCTAAGGAACTGATTTACGTAAATGTCACAAACTTCAAGAGAACTCTTTGGGACACGATGTGTAAAGTGAGTCTTCTAAGATGTATTTGGGAGGCCTCTTGAAGATATGCCCTAGGGAAAAACCCTATTGTCTACTAATAAATTACTTCTGGAAACTCCAATCAGAGATCCCTGACTTGTATAAAGGGCGAACTAAACTTTTCATGAAGGGGATAGTTCTCATCCAAGGCAGTTATGAACTTGTTAGAGCTCAGGTGATCTTTGGTAAGCCTATTAGCATGTGTATAGATTGCTTTATTAGTTTTAATATGTGGTCTCTGTAGTTCAAATTTGCATACAGAGAGCTGTGTAGTGGCTTAATTACTGTTACTAGAGTTGCCAACTTTCTAATCGTACAAAACTGAGCATCCTACACCCGCCCCTTTCCCCCATACCATGTTCCTTCCCTGCTCCTTCCCCAAAGCCCCATTCCCAATCACCATACTTTCCTCTTCCTTGGAGGCTCACTACCCTCCACCCTCACTCACTTTCACTGGGCTGGAGCAGGGGGGTTGGGTATGGAAGGGGTGAAGGATCTGTTTTTGAGTGCCAGGTGAAACTGGGGATGGAGGTTTGGGTTGCAGGAGGAGACACCAGCCTGGAGGGTGAGATCAAGGGATTTTGAGTATGGGAGGGGACTGTGGGTTGAAGTGGGAATTTGGGTGTGGGAAGGGGCATGAACTCAGAGTTGTGGGGCAGGCTTTCAGGTGGGGTCAGGGGTGAGTGTTTGGGGTACAGGAGTGGTCTGTGAGTTGGGGGAACTTAGGGCTGGGGCTCAGGATTGGGGCCTCGGCTTACCTCAGGCATCCACCAGTCAGCAGCAGAATGGTCTTAAAAGAGTTTCCCTGCTTTTCCTGATTCCATACTGTGCCCCAGAAGTGGCCAGTGGCTTTGACTCCAAGAGAAGGGGAACAAAAGGCTCTGTGTGCTGTTCTCACCCACATACACTGCCCCTACAGTTCCCACTGGCTGTGGTTCTCAGGACAGAGGCATCACACAGAGCCCTCTGGCCTCCTGACTAAGAGCTGGACTTGCTGGTTTCTTACAACACAGTGCCAGGACAAGTGGGGACTAGCCTACCTTAGCCTCACAGTTCTGCTGACTGGACTTTTAATGGATTGGTCGGTAGTGCAGATCACGATCCACAAAGTTCTCTTTTCAAGTGGATGTTCCTGTCAAAAACCAATGCCTGTTACAACTCTCAGAAGAGGAAGTAAGCCTAGCTGTCCTTTGGTGGGAATAGAACAGAGTAAATAGGTAGTTCAGCCTGGGAATATTCTGCTCAGGAGGGAGGGAGACATGGATGGAAACAATAAGTATGCTAGGGAGCTGGAGGCCTGAGAGTGGGCATAGAGGCAGTGGCCTAGAACTGTGGCAATATTATTGTTTGGATGAGCAGCAGGGCAATTTCTGGGGGCTCCAAGGGGAACTGTGAATCTAAGTTGCTTCAGCTTCAGCCTTGGGTGTTGGGACTTGGGGCCCTAGGCTGCAGTCCTGAATGGTAGAGCTTCAGCTTTTTGCCTTGGGCCCTGCTCACATACCCTCTCCTGGGGAGGCCTGGGCCCTTGGTTGAGAACCCCTGATTTAAGGGACTTATTTGTAAAGGTTAGTTTTGACATTCTTCATGCATTTGTTTTCTGCCTGAATGTTTGTGGTTTACTTTTGAGATCAGCCTAGGGTAAACAACAAAGGTTCTGGACATTTCGTGGCTGTGCCCACGAAAGCTCATGATACCATCTACAGGCAGTCCCCGAGTTATGCGGATCCGACTTATGTCAGATCCGCAGTTACGAACGGGGCTTTTCTTGCCCCAGAGGACGCAAGTGGCGGGACGCCCAGATGCACCGCGGTCCTGCCGCCCGCATCTTCTAGGGCAAGAAAAGCTGCTCTGTGTCTCCCTGGTCTGCTGGGGGGGGAGAGGAGCCAGACCCCGGGGCTTGGCCCCCCGTCTCCCTGGTCTGCTGGGAGGAGGCCCCTCCCAGCAGACCAGGGGGACGCGGAGCAAAGCCGTGGAGGATGCGGGCGGGACCGCGGCGCATCTCGGCAGTCCCGCCACCTGCATCTCCCTGGTCTTCTGGAGGGAGGGGGCACAGCTAGTGCGACCCCCCCAGCAGACCAGGCTTTTCTTGCCGACGACGCCTGGGGTAGAGCAGCTGGGGTGCTGCCAGGCTGGTCCCGCAGCGCCGCTCCTCGGTGCTACTGGAGCAACCCGGCAGCACCCCAGCTGCTCTGCCCCAGGCGTCCCCAAGTCAGCCGCTGGTCAGTTTCAGCAGCGGCTGACTTGGGGACACCTGGGGTAGAGCAGCTGGGGTGCTGCCAGGCTGGTCCCGCAGCGCCGCTCCTCGGTGCTACTGGAGCAACCCGGCAGCACCCCAGCTGCTCTGCCCCAGGCGTCCCCAAGTCAGCCGCTGGTCAGTTTCAGCAGCGGCTGACTTGGGGACACCTGGGGTAGAGCAGCTGGGGTGCTGCCAGGCTGGTCCCGCAGCGCCGCTCCTCGGTGCTACTGGAGCAACCCGGCAGCACCCCAGCTGCTCTGCCCCAGGCGTCCCCAAGTCAGCCGCTGGTCAGTTTCAGCAGCGGCTGAATCTGGACGCCAGGTCCAACTTACATACAAATTCAACTTAAGAACAAACCTACAGTCCCTATCTTGTACGTAACCCGGGGACTGCCTGTACATATTTTGTTAGTCTATAAAGTGCTACCAGCCTATTTGTTGTTTTTTAAGTTTAGTCTATACTAGTTTTGTACAAATGTGATAACTATCTCAAATTAATGGCAATCAATTAGATTAAAAAATCTCTAGTGACAACAGCACCAATTTGATGAACTGTGTGATTTGCAAGATAAGAGAAAACAGAAAATAATATGCTGCTCAAGATTCTCAAGGCAGTCTCAAGCTTTCTAGGGCTTTGTTCTTTAACTATCAAGTCCTAGGACAAATGTTCTGGTGGGCTAACACATGCCCTGTTGAATCCCCATTGCAAAATTGGAATCTGCTTTAACTGTAGTGTATCTTCACTCTTTGTAGTCACTGAATTCTGAGTTTCCTGGAGCACTTGCCAAATTTTTAAAAATACTTTGTGTGTGTGTGTGTGTGTGTGTGTGTGTGTGCATGTGCATTTCATTCACATTGGCTATGTCTATACTACAGGGGTTTTTTTTGGAAAAAGGTACGCAAATTGCACTCCACAATTTGCGTGCATTTTTCCAATAGTTTTGTCAGAAGAGGGTTTTTCGAAATTTGGCCCGGCTACACTGGGCCAAATTTCAGAAAAACCTCCTTTCAGATGAGCCCTTCTTCCTTGTGGCATGAGGAAGATGAGACTTCAGGAAGAAAAGATGTGTTCCCTGGACTAGTCTAGACATAGCCATAGTTTTATAGTGAGACAAGGTAGAGAGTACTTGAGTGCAGGCTTGCCTTTTATATTAGCAAGAAAAGAAAAAAATAAAATTGCTATTTTTTTCTAATTTCTTCAATAATTCAAGTGGGGGGAGAGTTTGTTTGTACTGTATGTGTGTTTGTTTTTACCATATTTCTAACCAGGAAGATACCTATTTGACTCGTAGCCTAGCCTCAAAGTTAACCTACAATTTTGAACTAGTTCTGCACATATGATTAGAACTTCTAAAAGAAGGCAGTGTCAAGTGAAAAAAAAAATCAAGAAAACCCATGTTTATTTGAATAGGTGCTCCGAGTTGAGTGCAAATATTTTTGAGACAATCTGCAAGGCTGTTATGCAAATAATTTATCTGCATATGGTTAGGTGATGGTCTTCATTATGCTACATGAATTACTCTTTTCTTTTATGGCATACCTGCAACATATCTAATTCATACTTAAGTACATAGAAAAATGCGCCAAATATTGCAGGTTTACAAAAGCCTGGGCACTTTGCTTTAGAATCCACCTGACGACAGAAATTTTAAGGTGATCTTCACTAATTCCTTATTTTTTTTAATAAGTAGGGAGCAGGGAGTAGGCAATTTTTCCTATACAGAACCACAGGTGTGTCTTACCCCTAATCTATACAGAGCATATCAGAACAACAGTTGGTATTTGTAACATTGTAAGAAACGGCTCCCTGAAAGTGGCTGTCAAAGTATGTTGTTTTGCCATATTTATAGGCACACAAGTATTTGAAGCGCCCCAAGATATCTACAAGTAATTGGCATGATGATTCCAATCTTTCTCTAGCTGCAAATTAATTATCTATGCAGTTTTGGTTAACAACCAAATTACCTCACTGGCAAATTGTATCTTTAGTTTATTCAGTGAAGTGAAAATAAAAAAAGAGATGTCACACTGTGGTTCCCAATGTAACTAAGATTTTTGGCTTGTAGGGGAAATATATCTTGTTAAGCTATCATAGATGGTTTAAGGCCCTTCACCTAATCCTCATCTGTCAGAAGAATCTATGCATTCAGTGAGTAGTTTGTAGTGAGATGGGTGCAGTAGTGAATAAAGAGGACATTAACAAGAGTCTGACACTTGAAAGGTTTTTGACAGCTTATGGTCAGTTGTTGGTAGTTTTTAGAATAGACTTATCAGACTATACTTATCAGAATGAAAAGGAATCTGAAAATGGACATTCTATATTTTTGATAGTTTGTAGCAAAATGCCTTTTCCAAAAATCAGGATATAAAAACTGTTTATAATTTGAAAGACCCTTTTAGTCTCAGTGTGTAAATAGGGACTCAGACCCCAGTATTACATGAGTGTAGTGTTGTTGTTATTATTCAAGCTTATACTTATATAAAATCAGAATCAAGTATTTATTTAAAACAAGAAGGTTTTGTAAAAGCAAAGAAAAACACAAACATCTTTTTTTAACCTCCTTTGTTTGTTCCTTTGTTAATATCTTGCTCTGCTAGGTTTACAAATCCTAAATAAATAGAAATTAGTGCTCCTTACTTTGCAGTCCATTTGCTTTAGATGTTTGCCTTGAGGGACATTTGTGTATTCTACTAATGGCTGCAGCAGAGTGCTGTCTCATTTTCATTCTGGCAAAAAAAGGCCGTTTCCATGGTTACAGTTTCATTTGCTAGAGAGAAACTGATGGCTGTTAGTGATCCCATCATAAGCAACTTCTGTCAGATTTCTTATCAAGTAGACATATTTTGACAAAGTGAAAGATAACACCATAATAAGAGAACTAAGTTGCTACTCTATGTAATGAACCATTTAGCATTAAATGAAATGTGAAACCACATTTTTAAGACTGAAGGTGGAGAGGAAAAAATAATATTTATAATTTAAAAAATAAAAATATTCAATACTGAAATAATGATAGGCTGTTTGCTTTCTGTTGTCAAGGTAAATCAAGTAACATAACACTGATTTCTGTTTTAGGGTCACATCCAAACATTCAGCCATCATATATTTCACAGAAAGCTTGCATGGAGTTATAGTGACTTCTAGGTTTTTCTGTGTTAGATCATTTAGGTTGGTTTGGCCCAAGGCTAAGCTGGGGCTAAATTCATGTGTGTTAGGTCAGAAAAGAAGATAAAAGATTTTATACAGCATTTTGCCCCCAACAAATTATATGTTATTCTTATTAAAAAGAAATGTTCCAATCATAGTATAGAAAGACGGGACTGATTGAGCTCTTTATTCTTGTGAACAGTGGGTTAATTCCAGATGTTAGTACATACAGGAGGCCTTACGCCCAAAATATCATGGTAGGGATAAAACAAAGGCATTTACCAGTGTCCTCGGTATTTGGCAGTCTGAATTCACCAATAATTTGTAAAAGGTGCTGAAGTGGAGCATTCTAGAATGTTTCATCTGCTATCCAATGTTATTGGGTTCACATTCTACTCACTCCAGGAAGGTCTGAAACAAAGAAGGAAGAAAGAAGAGAGAGAAATCCTGTGGAAAGATAGAATGAAAACTGAAGCATCATGAAAAATGACGAGAGAGAGATTATGCAGTGATGGGGAGGGAACAAAATAATTATGTAAAAATAAATACAGCATATATACTGCACACAGGATGCCAGTAGGATTAGTCTAATTTTGTTGAATGTATTAGTCCTGATGTATTAACAGAGGCTGTTTGTTCTTAAACATATATATTTAAAAATTAATATGCCTCAAAAATCATGGATATAATTCTCCGTTGCCCTCATTCTTGTGTAACCAGTTACAACGGCAAAGTGTAAAGTGCTACAAAGCCAGAATGTTAGGGCCCTAGTCTCATTTACACAAAGGCCCTTTCATGCAGCTTTGCCTATGAATTGGGGACTGAAAGTCAATGTAATTGTAGTTTAAATCTGCTTTAGGATTCCTTTATACTTCAAGGCTACATCTACACTGGCGCGTTCTCACGCAAAAACTCTTTTGTGGAAGAGTTCTTCTGCAAAAACTCTTCCAGAAGAGAGTGTCTACACTGGCATGTGTTTTTCCACAAGAAATGTGCTTTTGCGCAAGAGCATCCATACCAGTGTAGATACTCTCTTGTGCAAGAAAGCTCTGATGGCCATTTTAACCATAGGGCTTTCTTGTGCAAGGGCTTTCATGTTGCCTGTCTAACTGGCCTCTTGAGCAAGAACAGTTGAGCAAATGGGCTTATTCCTGAGCGGGAGAGTCAGAGTTCTGGCACAAGAAGCACTGATTTCATACATTAGAATGTCAGTTTACTTGCTCAAGAACACGCGGCCAGTGTAGACAGGCAGCAAGTTTTTGCGCAAGAGCGGCCGCTTTTGCGCAAGATCGCGCCAGTGTAGACACAACCCCAGAGTGGAGTAAAGGGACTTTTGCGTAACTGAGAGTGATCCTATAGTATTTATTATTTCCTTTGCACTAAAGTAGAAGATAGGTGCAGGACAATGGAGCATCAGGGCTATGAGTTCAGATTAATCTGTGAATTTGACTTAGTTTTGCAAATTCTGCAAACTCAAGAATGTATTTCTGAGATTCAAGACTACTTGGTCTTCACAAGGTTTACCTTTCATTGTATATTACAAACATTTTATTGTCAATTGGAGGCTCTTCAGGGAAGGCTTTGGTTGCTATGATTTGTCTCAGACTTTGCCAAGCAGTTGCCTGAAAGCGTGTGCCTATACCTGACCTGTGAGATCTGCCTTAGTGCTTTTGGATGTCAACCATATCTATTATGTAAAGTCAAATAGGAGACCTGGGCATTGAGAATAATTGAATGTCACCAGGTTCAAATCAGAATATGACAAATGTATTTAATGTCTCTGGTTTTGAGCCTGCATCAAGATATGTGAATGCATTCTTCTGTGCCAATGCAGATTCCCAATAGCATTTCACATAGGGGTAGGGTCCTTGCTTAGTAGATCCTGAGGAAAGGTATGGGTTCAAGTGATCACATGGAAGCCTGTCACCATACTGGTCATTCATAGTAAGGTCCTGATCATTAATTCCTTGCACACACAAAATGCACTGAAATAAAAGAATCTAGGATCGCCCCCCTGCCCTCATTTTTATAGATAAGCCTGAAGCTCTTAAACATAAAGGATACAATCTTCAAAAGCATTCAATGCTGGCTTACATTTGGTCCCACTGAAATAAATGGTAAAATCTTCACTGATTTCAATGGGAAAACAGTTAAGGCCAATGCTGATTAAAAAAAAAAAAATTCTACCTCACATGGTTTCCAAAGCATTAGCACTACATGAAAGGCACTGAAGTAATCTGTACCTTTCAAATGGGATTTCTAACACATATATAACAACATCAGTGACACAGAGATTGTTTGGGTAGCACTAGATTGAATTCTAAGAGTAATAATGCTATGTCTGTAGAGAGGTGGGAATTTTAATATCTGTGTTTGCATTTGCACCTGTGCTTTGGCAAGGCCTAGAAATACGCACACACATACACATTATCACAACTAATGTAGGAAGAACTCCCCTAAATACACAGAAACATCACTGACAGTAAGACCATAAGATTTTGAAAGTTATTTCCTTTAACTTCTCAAAGGGCACATTTATTCTGTGGGGCAAATGTCGAATTAAGATACGCAACTTTAGCTACATCAGTTGTGTAGCTGAAGTAGAAATAGCTTCATTTGGCTTTTGGCGCTGTCTACACAGCAGGAAGTTGAAGGAAGAACACTTTTCCTTGGACTTCCCTTACTGCTCCTGAAATGAGGGTTATAGGAGTCCTCCATCTCGAACTTATTTTGAAACAACAGTTTGCAGTGAAAATGCGCACTTTGTTATTTTTAAATAACATCAGTTATTCTGAAATAATGCTGCTGTGTAGACATAGCCTTAGCTATGTAAGGGTGCAGTCTTTGTGCAGATGCCACACTGAGGAACACACTAGACAGCTCCTATCCTTCTCTCATCCCATTACCCAAAAGATTAATATTTAACCTGATCCACATAAGAGTGCAAATAGCTCTGCTTCAGAAGGTGTAGCCTTGATTACTATATTATCCCCAAAATAGGAGTTAACATTAGCTTTCTAGACTGGGAATTTCAAAATACTTCAGTGACACTGGAGCACAAGTCCCATTTAAGGTCAAATTTTATTCAAGGCCTAAATAAGTGGATTGATTGCAAACAGTGCTGATTACTCAATAGCTCTCTTGACAATCATGGGAGATGCCGAGTGCTCACACCATTGCAGAACCAGAACTTTTATGCAGGTGCCCTTACTGCCCATTCAGTGGGAACTGGGCACCTAATTCCCTTGGTCACTTTGAAAATCCCAGTCCAGAAATCTGACTTGGAGTATCCATTTTATAAAATTTGACATCCTTTTATATATTCTTTTAATGCACCCAAAATACCATTCTATTTCCTGATGTGCAAGCTGTGCTCTGGACAAATTAACAACTGAAACTAAAAAACTCATATCCTTAACCAATATAACAAACTCTAGACTATTGTTTCATTTTTTCCATGCTAAATAAAGAACTAGCCATTTTCTTACCCTGGCTCCTAACAGGAAATATGGCAATTCTCCTCTCAAGCTTTCCCCTGCAGAAATTTATAGGAGAAGAGATAGGTCCTTCAGTGTAACCTCAATGTTAATAATTACTGACTCTGGCAGAAGAAAGGGAGAAGCAAAGTCCAGAGTTGAGAAGCCTTCATAGAGCACCTCCCTCATATTTATATGCTAGTAAGTAAGATCCAGCTTGAATGCTTTCATTGATCATTGATTACCATGATTGCAGACCATGGCTCAGGGAGAAGTGTGATCTTTCAGATAACCAGGTCTCAGTCTATTTAAAACAAAAGACAGAACTATATAGCACTTTAAAGACTAACAAGATGGTTTATTAGGTGATGAGCTTTCGTGGGCCAGACCCACTTCCTCAGATCAATTTAATACTTTATCAGTCTATTTTAAGACTTTCAAGGTTCAGACTCATACTTTGAAATCCATTCAGAAAGTCACAGAGATTCCATAAGGCTTCCAGAACATTGATGGCATATGCCTCAGTTATGGCAGACAGAAATTCTCTGGCCAGACAGTATGTGCCAATTCAGCAAATGGACTGCCACATTTTGCACCAGCTTCAATTTCTGAGTGGTTTCAGGATACTTTATAACATTTATGAAGTGTCTGGCAGCAGTCTAATCTTGAGGTGACAAAAGCATAGATAAGTGTATCAAAGTCCACACTGAAAAGAACTGTTTATAACAGAGGAGAGTGGGAAATGGCTTTCTGGTTCTATGAGAACTATGGATACATTTAATTTCTTAACCTAGCTAATGTGTCATAAGCTTTGAAATTTTAGCAAACCAACCAACCAGAAAAAAATTAAAGATAGAGTCAACTGAAAACTTTTGTTGTGATAATTTTCTAATATCCCATTTTGATCTTTTATATTTTCTGACTTTGACACACAAAAATTGCAGAGCAAAGTCAATTTGAAGACACCTCCCCCCAACATTCTTTTAACAATTTAGAATTTTTTTAATAAAAATATTTCAAGCCAGGAAATTAATCTAAGTCAACCCTTTTCCACAAACAGTTTTAGTTTTGACAAAATGGCATTTTTCAACTAAAACATAATTTCATCAGAAAACTCCCAGGTGGTTCCAATTTATACTAAAACTTCCACCCACTCTCTTCATATTTTCTCTCTTAATCACTTCTTTCACTAGTGGGGTGAGATGCAGTGTAAAGCAACACTGCACAACAGTTCAGTGAAAGGAAGTAAAAATTAATATACCAAATTGAAACTCATGAGTAAATTACATAGTTACTTAAGTATTCAGGGTACATTGAGAGATCATTAGTGTTTGCTCAGCAATTTTAAAAAACTGTAAAATGCTATATAAATGCTAAACATTAATATTTAAGGTTTGCAGATTATATTACTAAAACTGGAATTTAGCAGGCACTCAGGCTGATTAACAACTTTACTTTCATAGTGCTGTCATATTCTAAGTGACCACAAATTGTCAGGACCTTGATTTTAAGACTTATCTGAAAGACTACTTGGTGTAACACAGAGACTTAAATATAATGCTAGGGCTTTAGGTTTTATTCTAATAGTAACTCAGCAGGTGGAGTGTCATACACTGGATTACTAGTATCCCTTCTCATAGCACCTGTTTTTCTCTTTAGATGTGGTCTAGCTATCCCAATCCAGCCTTGCTTAGTTTGTGTAATTGACATCACAGTATGACATCACAGAATGGTACAGCTGCAAACTGACTGGGTTTCCTTCCCATCTCACTCTCACAGTTGTAAGTCATAAGCACAGTAATTATACTGAAGTCAGTGTACTCACACCAATGTAACACATTTATAGTGAGAACAGAACCAGGTGCTGTGTATAAAAGTGAAACAAGAGATTCAGTGTTTGTATTTCAGGGGTTTCTTTGCTCAT